AGCGAGGGGGACTGGGATGCCGTCTCCTCCTTCTGCGAAGCAGTCATGCTAGCTAAGGAGGAGGCGGAGCGCGTGAACGAACCTCCTCACGACCCGGCCGTTGCGAGAGACACTCCGGGCGTCGGGGATCGCGAGACGATCTCCGGCCACCGTAAGCACGGGCCTGCGGACGGCGAGCACGGGTGACTCGCCGCCCGACCAGAACCAGGCCCGAGCGTACGGCGCGTCGCGTTCCGCGCGCGCCTCAAGGAGCCATCAGACCACCACAGATGGGGCCTAACAGGGCTGATGCCGATACGGAGCCATGGAAGACTTAACGGGTTGCCGGGACTCCGGCTCGAAGTGCAGGAGTAGGAACAGGGTGGTTTTCAGTCAGTAAGAGTCTGACACTCCCTCCCGCCTAACCCGGGCGGGGGAAGTCATTGGATGATTTTCCCCCCTCAAAAAAAAAAAAAAAGGCTAGAAAAAGAGTAAGATATTCTTAAAACTAAAAGTTTAAGTCACGTAAAGTCACGTTATGGGGTGGGGGACATACAGGTACTGAGATATGTGTCTTAATTAGGTATATTTCTTTTTACCCTTCTCGTAACACATCGACGCAAGTTTTCTTTTAACTTTTATCTACTATATAAAAATAAGTCGGGTTTTCCTTCCTGACGCTAGTCCCGCCGTGTGAACCAACTCTTTGTGTGATCTACAAATTGTTGTTCCGGGACTGGGTGTCATTGTTATGTGAAATTGTATGTTTGTAAACGCACTCACGACACAGAAGGTATGACCCATCTAAGTGTGGGGCAACGTTTTAAATAAAAGATCAGATTTTCGGGATTATTAAGGACTTTGAAGGAAAGCCATTTATAACTCCTCAATGTTCAATTTTTTATATCATCCATCTTAATATGTTTACGAAGTATATTCAGTAACCACCGGTTATCACAGACGTTGTCTTATCTCTTGTAAACTAAACCCTATCAAAATTACATTGACCTGTGACCTATGAACTTCCCGGATGACCTTTCATTGACATACGCACCGACAATCCTACGCACACGATCCACATTACTTATGATTGCATATTCCTCGTAGGTTACTTTGCATCTTTGATATTTAAACGACTTGAAAAGAGAAGGAAGTTAAATGATAACTTTGTAGTTTTGTTCAAACTCGAAACTCAAAAGCATTTATTTCAATTAAACCATAATTTGGTACTTTTAAAACGTCAACAAATATAAAATAGGTAATATATGTAGTCTGTCAGTCTATCCGTCAGTGAAGCTAGGTGCTCATTCCTAAAGTAGATTCAAGTGGAGAAGAACGAGCAAGAAATTCCATTCGTTACTCTTTTAATTTAAAAAATAGTATGTTTACAATCTCTCTGAAACATATTCGAATATTGTATGTATATGTGAGAACAATGTAAACACACGCTTGGCACTTGACACGTTCAAAAGGGTATATTTCGTTGTTGGTCATCGTCCCTTTTTCACCAGGTCAGGATCAGATGGAAACATGGATGCCGAGGGAAAATTTTAATTTTAATTGTAGGTAGGGCTAGGGACTACTAGAGCGTTGGTAATTTTTTTTATTTGGTGGTTGATTGGTTATAGTTACTAATTTTGGAGTCTTTATAAGATTGCACGGACACCTATCACACTAATATTATAAATCTGAAATTTGGTATACAGGCAGGGTATGGGCTGACTTAGGTGATAGGACTTTTTACCCCGGTTATACAAAGGCTAGTCTATTATAATGGACGTCGTCGTCAGGTCGAGAGTATTACCACAAGAATAGTGCAAAAGCAAATACAACATAACAATATTATCACAGGTGCACTGTGGATAATTGTGGCTGCTACGTAGACTGAACATATAGGTATAGTAAATAAGTACTTTACCTACCCACTTATAGTTTACTTTTTGGCAAAATCATCGAATGACTTCGCGCCTAGGTGAGGCGGGAGGCGCGGCTTCGTATCGACATCAGCCCAATTGGGCCCCATCGGACCACCCATGCTCGCGATCCCTGACGCCCGGAGTGTCCTTCGAGACGGCTGAGCTGTGAGGAGACAGCGCTTCGCTGCCTCCTTAGCTAGCCTGACTGACTTATAGGTCGATTACATTTACTAGAATGACTGTCTCATTTGATGATGATTTGCCATGTGGAGTACGTGACCACGAAGTGAAGTACTTTGTAAATTTATGTGTACGTATTGAGCTCAAATCGTAATTTTGAAGTTTCGAACAATATAAACCATAAGATTTCGGGTGCTAGGTTAGACAATGTTAGTCAGTTATCAGATCACAAAACAACTGAACCAGAGACGTCCGACAGAAAAAAATAATGAGAAAAAAATCGAAAACTAATGTTAGGTGAAAATTACGAAAGAAATTATATAAAAAATTCTAACTCGAACACTTAATTTACACTTTACCGTCAACTCCCCGGCCACCCTGTATTGACTAGGAATTGTTTAGCTGACTATAATCTCTGCAGTGGTAGACTAGGTACTTCATTTCCCTATACTGGCTATTAAACTGTCGTTTCTGATAGCCATGCGTACGCGCACCTTTACTGATTAGTAATTTCTACGCTGTCGGTAGCCCATAACAAATCTCGTTTCCATGGGAACGCAATTTTGCTTATTTATTAAAGAGTCTATGTACGCAAGACGTCCGCGTGGAATAAGTAGCCCAAGTTTCTCTTTAGTAAGTACATCAGCTTGAGCTACCTGTCGGTAAAAGTCCTATACCCATGAAGGGGTAGGCAGAGGTGCACATTACAGAACTTAATGCAACTGTTCGCATTGTACGATGTACTTTTGTGTATGTATCGTATGTATATTTATATGCATACGAATTTCAATTCAATATTACAAACGGACACTCCAATTTTATTTATAAGTATAGATAGATGTAGATAAATATATAAACAAAATTATCAATGAATAAGGGCTCGTACACAAAACAGTGATGCGACGTCACATCGCAAAAATGAGCGAGCTCCCTCTACGTATCGCAAGAACTTGTGAATTGATTCGCATCGCGCATCAAAATCTTATCTTTCCAAAATCTTCTTTGTTTCTTTTTCCTGTATCTCCTAAGCAATAACAGAAGTGCATGCTTCTTTTTACGATCCATGTCACGACCTAGTTTTCAATCTATACTAATAGCATAAAGCTGAAGAGTTTGTTTTTTTGTTTGTTTGTTTGTTTGAACGCGCTAATCTCCGAAACTACTGATCCGATTTGAAAAATTCTTTCTGTGTTGGATAGCCCATTTATCGAGGAAGACTATAGGGTATAAAATATCACGCTACCATTAATAGGCGCCGAGCAGAGCGAGTGACAACGCGCGTAAATAGCTAGTTTAAAATACGTTTAGTACGGTTGACGGTCGTCGAAGGAATGGTCACCCTGGGAGACGCCTTGTCGCATGAAATCGCGTCGTATTTTTTTACGTTGCGAATTCGCATCGCAGTTTTGTGTACGAACCCTAAATGTTACCTTTGAGTACTTATGTTTGTAATAGTTTGACGAAAACACTCATTGTGTTCAAACAAAACAAGGTCTAAACAATTCATGTTAACACTTAATAATTATTATGATCGTACTAACAAATAAACATTATTTACTCTTATTTGTTATGTAGACTATCAATATACATAGTATAAAACAAAGTCGCTTTCGCTGTATGTCCGTATGTATGCTTAGATCTTTAAAACTACGCAACGGATTTTGATGCGGTTTTTTTTAATAGATAGAGTGATTCTTAAGGAAGTTTTGTATGTATATACATATTGCACCCGTGCGAAGCCGGGGCGGGTCGCTAGTATACAATATAATGATAATTATGTAGGTACATATTGTCTACATAAATATCTTCTATTGTTCTATAGCTATACACTCTATACAGGTGGAATTTTGTAATGCCACCTGAAGGGAAAGTATTCTTAATACTGTAGATAGAATTTTTTCTCCTTTATTTTTGAAAAGAAAGAAAACTGCATTCAAAGTTTTTTAATAATTCGCTTACCGCACACGGTAATTGAACCGACTAAAATCTGTAAAGCTTGCACCCTGTACTTTTATTGCATCGATTACTTATTAGTTATCTCGTGGTGAACTTCAACTCAACTCTATTACTCCTATCAACTATGTCAGCCCATACCCAGCCTTTATAACAAATTTCATTAAAATCCATTCAGTAGTTTCAGCGTTATTGACGTACAAACATACAAACAAAGAAACTTTCACATTTATAATATATTATATGAGTGTGATATCTTACTTAAAGCAACTCCTTTTTTATATCTAACAGAAAATCGGAAAAACTTGCGTTCAAACGGATAATAAGGAACTTAAGAGGAAAATGCAATTATATTATTTACGTAATCGCCTATTCAGAAAAGGAAAATAATAAATAATCTTTATTTTATTGTGACATCATCATCATCAGCCTGTATTCGTCCAATGCTGGACATAGGCCTCTCCAATGGCACGCCACTGAGCTCGGTCTTCAGCTCTTGTCTTCAGCTCTATTGTGACATATTATATGGTTATTATATTCTTATCTTACCTATGTAATCGTGTGAATATTTTTCCATTATTGTGCCTACAAACAAAATAAATCACGTTGATGTCTTCAAGAGATAAAACTTAAAGGCCCATCACCATATTATACCACCCATCATCATATTAGCAACAGCTGGAAGACGTCCACTGCTGAACAAAGACTTCCCCCTTAGTCCTCCACGTCGAACGACGACCACCTACATCCACTTTTTTTAAAGGGGAGAAATTATCCAATAACTTCTGCTGCCTTAGGTGAGGCGGGAGGGAGTGTCAGACTCTTATTGACTAAAAACCACCTCGTTCCTACTCCCTACTTCTGCTCTTCGAGCCATCTTCCGTCTTTCGCGGCTCATTCGCATCTACGGGCTCACATACATCAAGCCATGTAATGCATCTATTTTCAAATACATTTTTTGTTTCTTTTCAGAGGTACGATGGCCTCAGCGATCCTTGTGACAGGCGGTGCTGGATACGTGGGCTCACACACAGTAGCCTCCATTTTGGAAAGAGAGACAGCCCCTGATTTTGAAATAGTAGTCGTAGATAACTTAACAAACGCGTACAGAGCAGAAGGCCATAAGAAACCAGAAGCGATAAGGATAATCGAAGAGTTAACCAATAAGAAGATCAGTTTCTACGAGTTAGATCTTAGTGATAAACAGGGATTAAGTAAGATTTTTGAAAAGGTGAGTTTTTTTTAGTTGTTAAC